CAGCAGGAAATCTGGCTCCCGATAACCAAAGAGTTTGAAATCCCCCTCAAACCGTGCGTAGAGGCGCCTGATGTCCCTCTTGCTAACGCCCGAAAAGTATCTCTCCACTTTTGTTCTGTTGTACACGGTTATGCCCGGCGGAATCGTCGGGTACGACACCAGGTGGTCGATGCCGGCTGCTTTCAGGATAAACGGGGCGTCGTCCTCCAGGGTCTCGTGGTGTCCGATCACGCTGTAGGGGATCTCACAGGGGGCACAGAGTTCCACGTACGTTACCCAGTGAATGATGTGGTCGCCGAACTGGAGGTCCAGCCAGCGGTGGTTTGGGTCCCCCAGGTAGCGCACAAAGTCCTCGAACTGCAGCCCCCTGGTCTCCGTGCGGTTCCTGCGGTACTTGCGAATGATGCCGGGAGCGATCTCGTGCCGGTACCACGGTTCAAAACGAGGGTTGTGCACAAACTTGTCCTTAAATGCAGAAATGAGTCTTTCAAATGGATCTCTAACAATAAAAAACTTGAAGTATAAATTCAGTCTGAACAGAGGAAGGGGAAAAAAAAAAAAAGAAATTAAAAAATTAAGGAAAGTGTTTATTAAAGTGTTTAAAGTATGTTCAGCACAGACTTACAAAATGCCAAACTCTGACCACAAACACAGCAATATGAATGTTAGACCCCTTGCACAGTCTGTCAATATTATAACCAATAGGACTAGAAAGAATTTAGTTTTACTAACAGTTTTTTGTATATGATACAAAGTGGAAATAGTTCATCCTAGTTTTCACATTTAATTTAAACTGGAGGAGCTTAGTTTATCTTAATCCATATAAACAGGAGACAAAAGATGCTGAAAGCTCCGAGTTAAAGATTATTTTTCATGCCTTGTGATTAAGCTCAAGAAGGAAAATTCACAAAGACATGGGAAAAGTGGCTTGGTGGAGCTAAATGCATAGAGGGCTGCATTTTTCACTGGCAGGTTTCACTGGCAGGTAGTTAGACAAATCACTGCTTAAGTGAAAAAAATACATTCTGGTATTTTATTTGATGTTTTGTCAAGCTTTCAGAAATGGCTGAGATTATTATTTTAATGAGATCAGTTTCCAACAATTTCACATTTTGTTTCGATACTACTGGAGCTGCAGTATATATCTGTAGGAGTAGTAAATTGAAAATAAAGTTTACTTCAGTGAACAGCAGAGAAAGCAGATTTAGAGCCCAGTCCTCACTCAGAAAAGCAGACGGACTCCTTCCAGCCTCAACAGACACTTGAATCAGTCTTCAGGTTCTCCTGGCTTACTCCTAACCAGGCAGGCCTACAGGTCAGCTCACAAGATCAACAGATCCACATCATCCCCCTCTCTACTCCTAAAGTCTGTGACATTTTATTTCAGAATTCCCAATCAAACTCATGCTATCCCATCTCCAGCACGACTACTGCAGTGGGCTGACTGCAACAACCTGAATCCTAATGGCACTTAAATAGCCCAGCTCTAGCTCATCCCACAGGTGAACAGTTAGCAGGGCTGTTCACAGGGACAGAGAAGGGATTCACATTCCCAAAACCACGGTGACAGTATTTTGTCTTGTGCACTCTTAACACGATCAAGTGACCAAGACTTCCACAGACACAGCTGTGATAAATGTATCGGTGCTACTGAATGCAACAAGCCTACTCATAGGTGACACCACATCTATAAGGGGCTGACTCTTCAGAATGGCTTAATACACCCAAAAAACATACAAGCACAAGCTTTCAGGTGCCCACTGTCATCTTTTGTCCTGTTCTCTCCATGCTGCCACCTCTTAACATGAATTATATATGGCATAGGCTCTAGTAGAGATGACAGCAGTCAAAAAATCTAGCCAAAGTAATTTAGAAGGCTCTACTGCAGCAAAGTACTTTTTCTGCTCTGAGAAGAACCAGAAGCACCCTGACAGGAAGATGCAGTGGTTCAGCTGAGCAAACCATACTCGCAGGCTAAGGAGCACTAATGGTTTAAACCTAACCAGCTCAATCCCAGTAAGTAAATCTGCCTGCAATGACAACCTCAAATGTAGGGAGTAAGAGTTACTGTGCAAGACATCAAGGTGGACCTTCCAACTAAACCTTCCCTTCTGAGTGTCTACTCAGAAAACCACACTGAACTACAGAAACCCCCTATATCCAGAGGGAGCTGGTTGGCTCACCTAACTATAGCACCAATTACACTGGTCTTCTCCTTCAAAGCCAGTAGGGAGGTAGTCACAGCAACACCCACGAGGATATCAGAATAGTGCCACAATAGCACTATTCTGCTAAAGAATAAAAGCAGTGGAGCAGAACCCCCACTGTCCTCAATTCCAGATAAAGACTTTAACTGTACTGTTGCTTGCCCATAACACTACTGACTCCAAACCTCTTTCACACCCCTGAGAAGCCACCTCTTACCGTTTCTTAATTTCAGAGTCACTGAAGGAGGACAAGCGTGGAAGGCCGTTCTTCTCATGATCATGTACTATATTTTCTGGGATCTCTTCTATGGAAGAAAATGCTCCTACACAAATAAAAAAGAGAGCAAATGAATCTTCCAAGAGGGGGGGGGGGAAAAAAAAAAGTACAAGCAAGAACACGTGCATTTGGCTGACAAGCTTTTTGTTTTATCTTTCTCTTTTCTGTATTTTTAGCATATATGGTTACTTTGCATAAACTGTTAAATGGTGAGACACTCTGATTGCAAAGCTGAGAACTTTTAAAATTCTTTAGGCTATGTGACATCAAGGTCTAAGACCAAATGGCCTCAAACCTCCCAGAAAAGCTTATTATGCAAATTTCATCAGCTATTATGTCTAAGCCTGTAACTTCCCACCTCAGTGTCTCCATTCTCTTTCCCTCTACCCACATATAAAAATGGAGGAAGAGTGAGGATTAACTCCAAAGAAGGAACCAGCTCTTTGGCTGAGTTTCTACCACCAAAAAAATAAATGCTGTGGGCTGCTTTTGGAGCTGGTTCAACACAAAAGCACTTTGCTGTCAGGATCCATGAAGTTCTTTTAATGACTATGTTGTGCTGAAACAAAAATTCAATCATACAGGACTGCACAGATTAAAAAGTACTAAACTTAATAATAGAAAGCCTCCAGATACTAATTTCTGCAAGTATGTAAGCTGACAAGACAAATAATGTCACTAAATTCCAATGCATATATTTTAAGATCCTGATCCTGGAAGTTTTTATGGCCTTGAGAGATCTCTCATGTTGGCTCCTTAGGTGTGTAAGCACAACAGCAGTATTTCAGAGTACCAACCTGAAACAAGAACAGGGTGCTACAAAACAAGCTTTTTAGGTGAAAGCCCCTACGGCCTTCCCTGTTCCAGAACTGCGTTGAGTACTACACATCCCTCAGCTTCTCAGTCTTTTTTTTTTTTTGAGGGGTGGTGGTTATATTTTAATTTCATTTTTCTAGTTATAATTTTTGCTACTCTAGGTGAATTACATGTGAACAACAGATGCCAGATTAGACAGCCTCAGAAAGTGAAACCTTGCATTCATCCAGAGCAGAGATTCAGTACAAGCAGTAGCAGAGTTAGCTCCTCCACAGTGCCACGGCTGTGTTTCTCCATCCTGCACCTCCAAACACCACTTAGGTATTTGGACATCAAGTATTCCCCCTCAAGTATCAGTCCTGCCTAATAAAACTACCCAAAAAAGAAGAAGTTAGGTCAACTGCAGCAGCAGTCTTCAGCAGCAGACACCAGTACACTGGCAGCTCAAGGCAGAACAAGACCATTGTTCTGGGGGAAACAATTTTCTATCATTATCCAACATGCCAGAACTAGGAAGCTCAAAGTGACAGGTCCTCTGCTAGTAAGACATGAGCCACCCTCTATTCAGTGCAGCAAATACATTCCTGCCTGTCCTGAGCTACTCTTTGCACATTATCTCTGCTAAGCTCTGATAAGAGCAAGTACTTGTAATGCTCTCACATAGCTCCCTGTGTATTACCTTCTCAGAGGAGACATCCTCCTCGCTACAGAAGTTTTGCTGAGGGGCAGGCACATTTCTTTTGCCAATTTGTGACCATTTCTTCCTGAGTTTGCAAACTAGTTCACACAAGGTAAAGAAAACATAACAACACAAGCGCAGAGCTGGCTGTTTGCAGAGTGCCTCTAACAAGAAAGCTGGGTTTACAATGTTCAGGGTTTGCACACACCTTGGTGAGCTATGCCACCTGCAAAAACACAGGAGAACCTCAACTCACCTGACTCCATGCTGCAAATTCACAGCCCTGCTGCACAGACAGGCAGGAGGGTCTCATATCAAACAAGTGTGTGTTGCATTAAATAATCCCATGTGCAGCTCATGTGTGCAGGTAGTGGTACAGTAGAAAACCTCGAGGAAATGAGTTATTTTTATTGGCATACTAGTCTAAGAAGAGGATGATAGGCTATGGACACACGTGCAGCGTTCACCTAGTATATAGTTTTTCATACACACTAGCCCCTCTATTCCTTCTTCTCTAGTCTTTTATAGCACACCTTTCTTGGCCAAACTATTGCCTTAAGCACCTCAGAATCTTTCTAACTCCTACAGTCACTCACTGGTATCACATACACGATTTCAACAGTACAGACCACCAGCATCTGCCAAGTTTCAACTAGCCTTCTTCATGGCTAAAAAATCCTACTTAAAAGTCAGTGGCCTCAAGTCAGAAATTTTGCTATTTTGTTTCTTAGGGAATTGTGATACCTTGTAATTTACTTGTTTTGAATTCTATAAATGAGTGCCATCCCTTCAAAGACAGCAAATCTACCTACCACATGCACATGGGTACTCCTTCATAACTCAGATCACTTTTGAGCAAAGTAATAATATTTATTTTCGCAGAAAGAACAGGTGTATTTTCTTTAAATGAGATGTTTCTCAAGGACTACAAGCAACTGTGAAGAATAAAAGGCTGAAATTAAGTATCAGTGTACAGAAAAGCAGCAAGAACCCATTTTTGTGTTGTCCCAACTGGACCAGTGCTGTTCTTTCCTCCCCAGAGAAACCCACGTGCCCACAGCAGAGCAGATACCATTTAAAACGATCAAGACTTTTTTCCACTGAGTGTTGCCCACTTTTGGCGTCTGACAAAACAGGATCTTGTGCTTGTCACACACAAATATTCGGTCCAAGACGAATTTGGAAACTGCAGTGTGAGAGAGATTTCTCAATGCAGTGTCTCTGCAGACATTCCTGAGAAGCTCAAGTCTTTCCATATGAACCAGGGCTTGGTGGATCAGGTTTCCAGAAAAAGCTTTTCCCGTTGGCTTTATGAAATGCAAAGGGGAAAGAAAAAAAAAAAGTGTAAGAATTTAGTTCTCAGATCAAATATTGATGTATAAACATCTCCAAAATGTGCACCCTAATGACTCCCAGATTTATGATCAAAACACTATTATGTACTAACTAAAGGACATTTCCTTCCTGTGGTGCTGCTGTACACATTGGTTGGACTCCAGTCATCATGTCGTAGACCGTAGCAAGCTTTCAATACAACATTCTGCTGCAGAGCAACAGGGTCTTATCTGTGTGGATAAAACACACCTTGAACAAATACGGGAACTCCCACAAAGCTTCAACAGCCAGTAAGAAAGCCTCTGAGGGGCTGGGACAGGAATTTCAGCAGAAATAAAGGTTTAATTTCTGAGAAGATACGGCCTAGTCATGCTGACCCATCTGGCTAGGAAAAAAGAATTTAGAATAGAAGTCCTGTGTTGTTTTCTAGCACCTGTAGGCACCCAGTGTTTCCATTTATCCAAGCTGCAACCAAATTAAGTGGAAAAAAATTCACACGTTTGGCATCAGCACTTACTGTGACAAATAAGAGAAGTAGGCAGGATTCCTCCCCCCAAAAATGGATAAACTGTTTGATATGTCTCAGTGTTCTGAGACTAAGACAAGAACCATGACCACCTCTGCCTCATGATCAGTGGAGAAGAGAGAAAAAAGGAGCTTGTCTGATTAACAGGTGATGGGAAATTTTAAATTTCTCTGGACAAATCTTCTCCCTTCCACTAATTGATTTGCATAGCTGGCAATCCCTCCTATCAATACAGACTAGGGGACCTACTGATTGAGAGCAGGCCTGCAGAGAAGGACTTGGGGATATCAATGACTGAAAAATTGGCCATGTGCCAGCAATGGGTACGTGCAGCTCAGAAAGCCACTGGTATCCTGGGCTGCATAAAAAAAAGCATGGCCAGCAGGTCAAGGGAGGTGATTCTGCTCCTTGCTCCACTCTGGTGAGACCCTGCCTGGAGCACTGTGTTCAGCTCTGAAGTCCTCAGTACAAGAAAGACATGGACCTGTTAGAGTGAGTGCAGCAGAGAACCATGAAATCAGCCAGAGGGCTGAAGCATGTCTCTTGTGAGGAAGGGCCAAGAGAATTGGGGTTGCTCAGCCTGGAGAAGAAAAGGATCCAGGGAGACCTTATCACCGTCTTTCAATGCTTGCAAAGGGTTTGTAAGGAAGACAGAGAGGCTTTTTACTAGGGCCTGTAGTGACAGAACAAGGGGTAATGGTTTTAAACTGAAAGAGCATAGGTCTAGATCACATGTATGGAAGAATTTTTTTCCTATGAGAGTGGCAAGACACTAGAAGAGGTTGCCTGGAGAACTTGTGGATACCCCAACACTGCAAGTGTTCACGGTCAGGCTGGATGGGGCTTTGAGCAACTGGGTCTAGTGGCAGGTCTCGCTGCCCTAACCACAGCAAACAGGCTTAGCTAGATATGTTCAAAGGTCCTTCCCAAGCCAAACCACCCTGTGATGCTGTGATTTTAGGTACAGTGTCCAAGCCAAGGACAAATGGAAAAGGAACAATTTTCTTTTTTGTCCCAATACTCCATAAGGAAAAAACCTCATTCTGCTTTTTCTGTTTGCTGCTCTTCTCCAATATCCCCTGGTCAGAATGTAATCTCAGCAGCCTGACAGATTGTTTATCTGTCAAAACAATTCCTTTTGCATGCAACCAGGATTAATATGACTGCTTTGTGTTTCATGCTGTCAGGAAGTCAAGAAGGAATAGTTTTAGATCCATAAACCTTATTATCCCCCTCTTCCATACAAGTAAAGGAAGATACTAAAACTCACTGCATAGATCTGCCAGCCTTCCACTGAACTAAGTGTTTCTCCCAAGTATTTTGAGGATAACTTCAATTTCAGGTTTCTTTACATACAAAACCAAAGTGTTATGTTTATAGAGAAGTCTACCTTCCATGCTGCATCACAAAAATATTCTAAACATAAGACAACTTATGCAACCAATGGAAAAAAATTTACCTTAGCCTACCATACAACTAGTCTGAAATTTACATTTGCATAAGGGATTTTCAGTTTCTTTATAAATTCACAAGTACCACATTTGTTCTGCTCCATTGCTCAAAGCACAGAACTATGCATCTAAAGGGTCAGTCAGTATTGAATACTATTGTGTTCATGTTCTACTTTGTAAAAACACCGAGATGTGAAGCACAAAGAGCACAAAATATGGAACAGAAACAGAGACCTGATAAAAAGAATCAGAGAAACTGGGCAGAGAACTAAGAGAACAGACAAGACACAGGCTTGTCCTCAAGAATGATGACCCTGAAGGATATGGCAAGGCAGAATACAGGTAATCCAAAATTAGGCCGTTATATTAAAAAGGCTAGCAAAAATGACTGTCCTGACTCGATAAAGGACTACTGTAACCATCTTCTCCTAGAAATGCAAACACATTAAGTCGAATCACTGGGATGAAACAAGACAGCAGGTTACCATAACAAACTAGCTTTGTGAAGCTAAAATGAATTCTGTTGGCTCTATCTAAATAGAACAGTCTGAATAAATCACTCCTGTCTAGCAATTCCTTTTAACAACGGGAAGCCCTCCCTTAATCTCTTTATTTTCTCCCACTCTTTAATATTTGTAACCCTTATCTCAACCACTAGTATGCACCTGGAATTCTTCAGGCCAATGTTTTTGTGCTGGCACATGTACCTCCTCCACTTTTGTCACAGCTGTCAGTATCAATGGCTCTTGCTTGGCACTGTAGCCTAAAGAAGGAAGAGAGATAAGAGCATTACAGAAGGTGGGGGAAAGGCAACTATTTCTGCTTCACGAGTAACACAACTGAACATCACTTTCTGTATTAAGCTTACAAAACACTAGGATTTGTTTCCAAATGGGAAGGCACTAGAAAAGATATGAGATTGACTAGGGGTACTTTAAAGGATGTCCTCTGTGGGAACTCTGGATGCAACTTCAGCTGAGTTTTATCAAAACATGTTATCTTTTGTTTTGGTCTTTTTTAGAGACATAGAAATCATAAATCCAAATACCATGACTGGAAGACAACTGAGTTTAACTATATGGACTTAACATCATAAAATTTTTATTTTTCAGTAAGCTTCCAAAAGCACCTTCAAATAAAAGCCTTAATCTATCTGGTTTCTCCCTCCTCTTAAGACAGGTTTCCTCTGCAAATTCTTAGAGATTATCAGAAGTGGTGTCATTAAGGACCACCTTTTATTTATCTGGTGCTCTAACTAAACACCTCTAAACAGCAATAAATACAAGAACCCCTCTTCTTTTATTACTGGACTGATGACCTTCCTTAGAGAATGCCACAACAAAAGAACAAACCCGGCTGACACTTCTGGTCTTTTTTTAATGACTTTGGGGCAGTTAATAATTTCAGACCAAATTCAAGTATGCAAGGGAAGAAGCCACCTTTGCATCTTTTGCAACTGGTACGCTACAGGAAAACTGAAAAATAACACAAGGCTGTAGCTTTACTTTACATGTTGCAGAAAGATCAAAACTAATTTGAAGCAGCTTTCACTAACCACAAAGCAAGAAGAACATCATTTCTCCCTGAAAAATTATTTCCATCCACATTAGACTGCTTCATAGAGTTTCTTCTATGAATAATTTTTCTTCATCTGCATTCACAGTGGCTTACTGTTTTATGGTTGAGGAAATGTGTGTACTGCCTATGTCCTTTTCTTAAGAGAGTATTCTACACTGGCTACACTGGATTTTAACAAAGGGCACACATGGAAAAATTCAAACTGAAACCAGCGTAAGCATCCAAGCAATCAGATACAGTAAATATTGTTATGCACAGACTTACTTCACAGTATCCTTCTGTAAAATCAAAGTAATGCAAACAGCTGAAAGAGCAGTTAAAGTATCTTTCATTCTTACTGGGCAAATGCATGCCTGCAGATGCTACTAGAGATGATGGACAGGAACTTGCTCCTTCTCACTGAGGAGTTTCTACTACTCATGCACCCAAGGCATCAGTGAAAGGCTTAAACAAAAGAACACCAATTCACTGAGCATCACTAATAAGGATCCAAATAAAGAAAATTCCTGACAAGCCACATTTCATTAAGTCTAAATAGTGCTCCTCTCCCAGGTTGGCCATCCTACTTAGACTTTCTCCAAAATTCTGTTGGTATATTCAAATTACTTCCCTTCATCACACCCAGTACAAACACTGGCATCTCCAACACGTACATACATTTAATTAGTCATGAATTTGCAGGACTGGAGCTTAAGAAATGACACCATCTTCTGCTCAGAGAACTATTCAAAGTGAAAAGAAGAACGAGCAGACATTTAAAAAAATAGGAAAAAAGGAAAAAAATTGCCAAGCTACAATAAGAAAAAGGAAGTAATTGCAAAGCATGTTCACTCCAGTAAAATTAGCCCCGTACTTTTTTTTTTTTTTTAATTATATTTTAATCCTCTTCACAGAAATCTGATGGAAAGAACCACTCAAAGAATATCTGACCTGGGAAACAAGAGTTGGCATAGAATGAAATACTGTCAGATTTAACTCTTTAACATAAGACCAGCTTCCTTGCAGATGCAGTAGGGCTCAAAAACAGCTGGGCCCAAGGAAAGCTGTTAGCCCACAGTCTCATATGCAACACTTGCTGAATAACCTCCACACAGAGGTATGTTATTTTAAAAAGTATACCTAATATATCAGTCCACTACCAAGTCACTGAAACAAATGGCACTAGCGATGTCAGCACTTCAAAAGTTACTCATTCTTGCATATTTTAGGAAGATACAAAGATACATCTCTCTTAGGACTGTGAGGTCTCTTCACCCTAAACTCTGTACAAGGGCTTTGTAACAGTAGCTCCTCAGCAGAGAGAAAACTGTAACATGCTGTGTGGTGTCATCAAATGGCTTAAATTCCTCATCAGCTTAATACCATCTGGGCTACTTAAGCTAAGCAAAAGCCCATAAGCTGTTTGTCAGTCAAACAGCAGAGGATAGAACTGAATGCAAGAAGCAGAGCAGAGGAAGCTAGGCTAAGTGCACTGCAAATGAAATAAAACTTCCCACAAGTTTTACATAACACTGCAGCCACAGGACAAGCAGTCACAAGTGGACAGAAACTAGTATCATGTGAAATAAACTCTTTAATTCCTTGTGAAACTCCTTTGTTTTTAAAGTGGTAATTGTGCTCTCTTGTTGTGCACATGACTTCTAGATCAAGATACTGAAACCAAGTGCTTGAAAAAGCAGACCTCACTGCCAAACATGATCCCTTCTGTTCTTAACCACAAAAACAAAAAGACAGGGTTTAGTTTTTCAGACTTCCACCAAGAGATGCAGAAACTGACTATCAGCACAGTCAATTCTAGAATTTTAGCTGTTCTATTCTCAATCCTACTGAGGAAGCAGTAACACGACAAGAACCACTTTGTACAGAAAGAGTATTTGTGTGAAGGACTATTCAGTTTCTGTTTCAATTTTCGCATCAAACGTTAAAGTTGAACTTACCATCTGGGTCTTTAAAAGTCAACGTGATAAACTTGCTAGCAACCATGAACATGAATATCACCCAAAAGCATGCAGCTAGCAGCAGCCACTGGTGGTGCATGTTGTCAGACACGAGCCATATAAAGTTGTTGCTTCCTGTTTCAAAGAGGAAAGATTGACAGATCAATTATTTTTGTTCCAGTTTAGAAAAACGCGTTTCATAACCAAAACAACAAAACTGTAATATGTATGCGTGTCATAAAACGTAGCAGGATATTTCACCTCTTACTTTTTTGTCCTTTTGGCTTTTAGCTAAGGTTAAGGCTGAGGTGATGCAACCACCAGCTGCTCTCATAAAGGAAGCTTCCACTCCTCCTTCACCCCTGCATACACATTCCCTGTCCTCCCCTTGCCCGCAGTGCTGGCAATAGCACTGCTGGCCTGACTGCTCAAGGGCACTGACCTGCCAAACCTCCAATTCATTTAAAGTTCAGTTTGGTTTTTGATTTAACTTTGCAAGATGGCTCACTGTAGGAAAGGGAGGGAGAATGAAGAAAGCTCTCCTCTCAGTGGTAGCTGACCAGCAGATCAACCAAGCTCTAACATTAACAGTATTCTTTGTTATCCAAAGTCAGCTCCTAACACGTAACACAGACTCCTTCCCTCCCCAGCCTACACCAATTACAGGCTGGAAACTACTGAACACCAAGCCTAACTTGACACAATAGTTAAATGTATTAACCTATCTTTTGATTTTGTCACTTTTATTGCCAGTGATGCATCAACCACAGCTTCTGGAAGACTTTTTCTATTGCCATCGTGCCAAGCAGAATCCACATAAATAGCAAAAAAGGGTTTCCCTGCTTTTTTTCTGTAGCTGCATGCCTGCACGTAAGCCTCACAGACAAGACTTACCCAGGGGTGCAGGAAAGGCCACCCAAACAATTGAGGTGGCAGATTTAATGAGCAAAGGAACCACAGGTACTGACTGAATCCAACAGAGCAAGGATGAGGATACTGCATTATTTTGCAAACACATGGTGCCTGCCCTACCTCACAGTTTCTAAGCTTGCTGCAGTGCTCTGAACACTTCTAGCTCGACTTTAGAAACTGTAATCCAAATAAATTATTTTTTATGGTTAAAAGTTCAAATGCAACACAAGGAAACCAGTTACAAAAAAAAAAACCCCAAAACATTAAAGTCCCCAGCTATTAAGAGAAACGTAACATTTTAAGCTACATCTTTCACTGAATTTCCAGCTTCTAATGGGCAATGTGCCGAGTGAAGCACTGAGACTGACAGCGAGTATCTGTGAAAGTTACATTGCAGAATTTAAGCTTCCATAACTTAAAAAAAAAACAAAAACAAAAACAAAAACCAAAACAAAAACCAAACAAGCCAAAAAAACCACAAGACCAAACATTACTGTCTACATACCAAAACCTGAGACTCCTCAGGCTTGAATATTTATCCTGCAAAAATAAAGCACCACTGTCTGAGTTCTTCCTGGAGAGATAAGACATCTGGGGGCCAGGTGCTGGAAAGTTCAAACCTAAGGATCCTTTTGAGGATACACAACACAACTTCAGAACACTTAACCAAAGAGGATCTAATACAAAACCCTCATACAATGAGATCCTCTCAACAATCCTGTAAGGTTTGTGCTTGTAGCCTCGGGAAGAACAAAAACCTGAAAGCACCCATGTAACTAGGAACAGCATCAAACTCAGTCCTGAAGTAGCCACGTGCAACTTCAATGAGAGTCACCTCTGCGTGGTTTGTGATCACACTTTCTATACAGCCCCTTGAGTGAGTTGCTAGGAAGTAAAAGAGATGTCCCCATTCTTAAAATCATTCTAGTTAATAAAAAGTTTGCTTAGAAGTATTAAGTGTTTTGGTCATATACCAATATTTGACCTTCTTAATTCCCACAAAGCATAAATAGCAGAAATAAACCTGGCTTTGACATTGTTTCAGTATGTCCACCTGCAACAACAGTACTACTGCTACAGGAGGTGACTGCTTTTCCAATTAGTTTTTGCCTTCCAGCAAAGCAAATGTTGCCAGGAAGCCTTCTCATGGCAGCTGACACAAGTGAAATGTCTTCTGCTACATTGAAAGCCTGTGCAGGCAAGGAGTTCAAAACAGATCTGGGATGCAAGGATGTAAGTGAAATGGGTGAGAGGAGGAAAAGAACAGAGTATCTCCAACTGGAAAAAAAAGCCACAGCCTTTAGGTAGCATGGCATTGTTCAGGCCTATTTTTATTTTCTCAGTGCAATATTTTTCAATTTGGCTTCTCAGAGGTCCTTTTTTTCCTTCTTTTATGATGTCATTTTCAAGTACTTCTAAAATCACTGCATTTAGGTAAAAAGATGCATCAACTATCTTTTAGACAATTACAGGTGCTGTGACCTCCATGAAGACTGTTTATCATCTCTCATTTTCTGATGCAATTCCCTGGGTACCAACTGAGCATGCAATGTCCAAGACATGTTACTCTTCAATATCAAAGACTGTTGGCCAGGAAAGGCAAACAACACAGCATGAATTCCCCAGCACTGAGCTCCTTCCAGCTAAGTGATTCAAAAGTTACTCTCTCCTCCTACCATTGCATCAGCGCAAAATTAGCTGTAAGATTCATGCTGAAAACCACCAGGTCTCAAAGGTCCTCAGGTTTCAGTATGGCACAACATCCATCATCTCCCATTTAGCTCAATGAAATGTATCCGCTTTGCTTTCAGACATCACAATAATTAGTGATTAGGAATACTAATTCAGAAATAATTAGGAAAACTTTCCAGCTCTCACAGGCGAGAGGAGTGCAGAACAGATGCCAGGACACAAAATGTAGCAATACTTTTACTTTTTGCACAGCTCTGCGTCCAACATTCAAAATATAATTGAACCTGTCTTCAAGGCAGTAGACTGACAGAAGCTTGCAGAGAACATTCTGCAGGAGGAAAGCCTAGAACTATTAGCTGTGGATATTTCAGAGGTATAACAAATGGTCTGGGCTACATCCTTCTGTCTAACCCAACGTATTTGCTCTACATAAAGAATGGTAGAAAGGGTGTCTAATATCTGTAGCAACCCTGCTATCCTGCCCACTTTTATGATGGTGATGGATGCACAACGTTCAGTAAGGATTAATGATCTCTATCCCCTTATGTAATTTGTGTATTGGATTTCAAAGAAGTTGTGTTAAGTGACATGGGGAAAGCAGTTTCCACGTGCTCTGACCTCAAAAGCCATCAGAGCACACAGCACCCTGCTGCCAGATCCTGTGCTCTAGGAATAGGAGAGCGACATTTCAGCCAAAGACACCTCCAAGCAGTACACTGCTCACCTCAAGAACTCGACTTGGAGACCAAAAAAGGGACAGAATTGACCCTCATCCATAACAACTAACGCTGTTACTCTTCAATATGTCAAAGCTGAGGAAAATATTAAGAAGGTTTGCCTACTCCTTTTTTAACACACGCAGCAGATCTGCAGCCATCCCCATCAATACAAGTCTTGTCAGAGGATCTGTCACAACCCAGTGACAACAGCTGGCACCCTTACTGCTCACCAAACCTGCATCTGTATCAGCAGCTCACTACCTATCTCAAGAAGCAGGCCTGTTCAAAATTATATACAGGGCTAACTCAATTGTGATGCTCACTTAAGTGCAATGATCAGCAATATTTTTTATGAAATGTGTTTGTTGTTTCCCTTTCTCTAGCTTCTTAATATTTTTATCATTTTCACATAGGGAAACTGCACTTCCCATTACCTTTCTGATCTTAGTGGATTTCTGTTGTTTCTCCTATTACTTACTTTCTAGTGAACACATGTATTAGCTTCTGTTTTTTTCTCTTCAATAATTTCCTTCAGATGCCAAATGTGTCTTATTCCTTCTTGCCTAAAACATTTTTTATTTACAAGCAGAAAAAAACAAGAAAGCTGCTTAAGTTTTAGTCTGTTTTCTCTCAGTGAAATATGCAGGGATTTTTCAGGTTACTCCTCCTTCTTCTTATTGCAATTCTATACTTTTTAGGAGCACAGCATCCCTCATGTTCCCTCTTTCCATCTAATTCTCTGTCCTTCCCTCCCTGGGCTACTTACCCCAAAGACAAACGGTCACATAACCCTCAGAGTAGCCAGGTGCCAGTTTTGCATGAGAAAAAAATGGGACTGCAAACACACAGATACAAACAGGAGCCAAAGATCAGGACACAAGGCATGGCAGGCTTGACCCATGGCCTGGGAGTCATCTGTTACCTGGAAAAAACACTCGCCCTTTGCAGAAGACTGCTGCCTTCATGTGAACAACGGGATGAAGCACAGAAGATTTAAGCCACATTAGAACTCAGTGCACAGCCTCTGCTCTGCAGCTTTTGCTGCTTGGATAGGGGCTTGGCAGGACAGCCTGGGCACACATCATGACTGACAGTGGCACGCTGGTAGTCTCAAACAACCAACCACTTGCCCATCAGCACCTGACTAGTGATGTAATTTGAAATGGAACTGGCAAAGAAGGCCAAACAATAGCTAGCTGGGATACCTAATCCATTTTCATCAAGGCCTCCTTTGTCTTATGTTCAAGTTAAGAGATCTGGACAATTTATTACACTTTTGAAAAAAAATCTGGACTAAAATCTACCACACACTCCTGTGGCAAGTTGTGTGGTGCTACTAAATATTATAACGCCCGTTATAACAGGCACTTCTGCAAGCCGTCTCTTTCCGAAGGCTTTCCCCCTCCCCGACAATGCACAGGCCTAAGGTCGCTGCTCCCCCAGGCACCGCTGGAGCGCGGGGTCCTCCCGGAGCACCCT